AATGATATATTAAGAAAAATTTTTATCCTTCAACAAATTTTATTATTTATCTAATAGTTATTCCTAATATATCATCGGTTATATGAGATCTGAGATTAAGATCCCTGTTTTGATTGGACAAAAAACTAGTTACAAACAGTCCTCAATCTAAAATATCTATCTCCAATATATCATATGCGCTTTACTAATAATTCATATACAACTCCTAAAATCCGGCTAACGATAAACATTTTATCGGACCTAATGCAAGTTAAATTTTTCGTCCAATCAAAACAGGGATCTGATCTCAGGAAATAGCCGCTCGTTAGGCATAGGTGTACAGCCATTATAAATGAATGACAGAACAATACTATGAATATTACTTATATAATACACTCATGTAATTTTGCAAGATTTAAATACTAAACTACCAATAACTGAAGTCATGATTCACGTTATTTATTTGCTAAAAAACTACGATTACAAACTAAAATGTAATAAAAAAATTTGTACTTTTCTTCGGCACTCTCAAACAAAATAACGCTGATTCACTAAAAACACAATCGCATTATATACATCACGTCACACAACAGTCATTAAATTTTTTCTATTATTATAAAAACTCTTCTTCTTTGTGAATAAAAATGCCGTCGAATATAAAAATTCTAATGGCATTGAATTTCAAGTTAGAGAGCAACAACAGTTTAAAAAGACTTAGTAATTAAATGTATTGTGGAAATGTTCGGTACTTTTATAATTCTTTTAAAGCTAAGGAACTCAATTTTTAATGAACAAATGCGGGTCATAAGTTTAGTCAATCAGCTAGTCACGTATGGTAGTGCTCTGTGCGTGTCTGCTCTGTCGCGATCATTTTGCGGTCGCAATTAATTAAATTTAGTGAGTCAGTGAGTATAATCTAAGTAAATAGGTACTATCAGTGTATGTTGAGATCCACTATCGTGGACCCCCATTTTCATTTCATAGACCCCCAAACATTTATTCCGCTGACGTAGACCCCTTGCAGGTTGTCATAGACCACTGTTGTCTATATAGACCACTTTAGGAATCACTGTAGTAAATATTTAAAATATCACCAGATAGTTCATGGGGTAGGTATAGAAAGTTATCTTGACACAATTAATGATTCAAAATAATTTGCATGAATTAGCAATTTATTTTTAAACAACGCACTGCATTAAGAGGTTTGTAATCTATATTGTCACATATTCTTATACATAGATTTTGGTTGTCTAGTAAATAACAGCAAGATAAAGTTAGATTGCAGTATTTTTGGACAACCCACTTTGTTGTGAAAAAACACAACTTCACTTTGAACAAAAATCTGGTCAATGTGAACAAAACTTTGTTCACCATCACTATTGTACAAGAAATTTATTGATTTTAAGTCTTATGCAGAGTTCAACTTTAAAAATTAGAAAGCAATATGACTGCAAGCTGATCCAAATCTAAAACATAAGCAATTAAAAACTTAAATTTTCATTACATTAATTATTACTTTTAAATTTATCATTACAAATCATCTTAATTAATATAATTCTAATATAAAATAATCATAATGTAATCGTATATAATGATAATAAAATTTTGTTATGAAAAAAACAAAACTTAATTGCTAAAGTAAACATATTCATTTTATGTTACTAAAAAAACCAAACTTAATTGCTAAAGTAAACATACAAAACAACAAAACTGCAGTTTCCATTTAAAATATATCCTTTGGTCAAAAGGATATATTTTAAATTACACTTAGCCCTTACACAGTAATTTACCCTTACACAGTAGGTTGCCCTTACACAATAATTTACTAATCGGTATGTAAACTATAATATAGTTTCAAAGTGATGTACTTCTTGGATTCCATGAATCTTTTATGCATATTTGCATGGTATATTATTATAACCCCAAATTTTGTTTTCAAGAACTAAATAAATAAGTGAAAACCCTCAGTCTGTAAAATAGATGTTTCTGGTCAATCTCGTCATATTGAAAATAAAAAAAAAATTGGTATTTTATTTTCTAATAGTTAGTGGATTGCCATGGAACATAATAAGTCAAATTTAATAATGGTTCAAAGGTTATGCAAAAGTCAATATGACACCAAAACTAATTAAATAAAGTAAAATTCTCAGTCTGTAAAATAGATGATTCTGGGTAATCCCAACACATTAAAATTTTTTTTTGTAGTATTTTATTTTTTTATAGTTGTGGAATCACTATGGAAAATTTCAAGTCAAATGTAATAACGGTTTAAAAGTTGTTCAAGAGTCAATATGACACCAAAACTAAGAAAATTCGAAAAACCCTTAGTCTGTAAAATAGACGATTTTGGGCAATCCCGACAGAATTAAAAAAATTTTTTTTGGTATTTTATTTTCTCATAGTTGCTGAATCATTATGGAAAATTTCAAGTCAAATGTAATAATAATTCGAAAGTTATTCGAAAGTCAATATGATTCAAAAATACTCTCTTTTTTCGGTGCCATAACACTGCAAATTTTCGATACTTCAGCCCTATACCTTTCATCAAAAAATCATCCATTTTTTCACTACAAAAAATTCAATAACTTTGGATTCACTCAACTTCAAAGGCTAAATGACCCCTCATTTTTTAAGTCTAGTCAATCTCTTTATAATGATATAAATTTATATGTTTATTTGAATTATAAAAAAATCATCTGGAATGGCTACTTTGGATTTATATGAACATATATACAAACATCATATATTTATATTTTTTTCGCTTTTCTTTGACTTGGTAAGACCTAAAATAACAACATTAATTTGGTTAAAACTTGCTGTAGTCGTATATTTTCTTAGTTATATTTTAGATTTCACTAAAATTATTTTTTTACCTTTTTAAAGCACAAACTAATACTCTTAATTTTAAACAGCATTAAAAAAAAAAATCTTGCTCGTGTCCACAGACAAAATAATTAAAACCCTCAAAGAATTTATAAACTTTCATACTTTCTCTGCTGTGATTCTACTAAATATGGATATATATCTGACTTCAGGAAACAAACTTGCATTATTTCTTCAAAATTTCTCCTTGATACCATAAGGATCGGGAAACAAAACATTATTTTCATTAAGTAACTTCTAATATAAAATCTTCGTCAGGGTTAGCAAGAGAATTGAAGTCAGAAAATATAGGTTAGGTGAACTTTTGTTAAGTAGTCCAAAATAAAGTTCTTGTTTATTTTATGTTTTTGCCTACAAACTACCGCGCATGCACTTATATTGTAAACATTTGTAACCTGTTTACAGTGGTCACCATCATCAGGTGGAATAAAAAACGTTACAAAAATTGTTACAAAACTACAAAGACATTCAAGTGTTTTGTAAATATATATTAATATCAAAATATATTAAAAAAAAAAAGTTTATTAATCAAACTCATTAAACATAAATGTCGTATAACAAAAAAATGATTTTAAAAGAATTTATTACTGCCCTTTACGGCGAAGAGATTCACAAAAAAATGAAGAAAAATTCAAAAAACTTGAAGATACGAAATACAAACAAAAAATCTTCTTAAAAAAAGAATAGAAAATTTAAAGGTGAAAACTTAATGAATAAAAACAAAACAACTTGGAGACCAGTTTGGTCAAAATTTTAACTGACGCCATTATATTATTTTATAAAAACTACTTCTGTATTGTCTTCTTTTTTTTTACGGTTTGATTTATGGTAGTCGGTAAAATGCGAACTTCGAACCGCCAACTGCGAATCGATAAAATGCGATTTTTTTTGCGAAATTTTAATTACCACTACGGTTATGATATTTAGAAAAACTTTTGCTTGTCAATTTTTTAATTTAAATTAAATATAGTGTAATTTGATATACTTTATTTAAATTAGATTGTATTTCTTTTGAATTAAATATAATTTTTGTTTCTGCTTGAAGTCCATAAAATATATATATAGTAAAATAAACAATTTACCGGCAAACGGAAAATAAAAAATATTACATCACTAACAATCTATAGAACTATGTAAGAGACATAGTGAACCGGTAAAAAGTTCGCATTTTACCGGTTCGCGGTTCGCAATTCGCATTTTATCGACTACCTTGTTTTGTAACAATTTTTGTAACGTTTTTTATTCAACCTGATGATGCTGACCGCTATAGGTCAGCGAAGTATTGTAAATAGATATTAATATCAAATTATATTTAAAACAAAAAGTTTATACGCAGCTTTATTAATCAAACTCATTAAACATAAATTTACTTAAGATTTTACTAGCGCAATACCACCGCCTAAAATCAAAAACCGACAAACCTGGTATTGTAATAGTAGAATTAAATAATAAAGAAAAAGTTGCAGACATTTTAAAGTCAGCAAGCAATTTGAAATATAATGTCGAATATAAAAATAAAGTATATATAAATCAGGATTTAACATTTGCACAACGTGAAAGCAGAAAATTGCTTCTAAAAGAAAGAGATCGTTTAAATAATGCTCATAATAACCAGCCCTTTCGGTATATTGTCAAAAATGAGTCAATTGTCAAAGTCAAGAAAAGTGAAAAAACTAAAAATTAATTCATTATCTAGTGTAAATAAAAACAAATCTGACATTATTTTTCCATTCAATAAAAAGTCTAGCTATCTTAAGTTTTGGTATACAAATTCTACGTCTTTAGTAAATAAAATAACAGAGTTTGAAACAAAAATTATGATCGACTCACCAGATATCATACTTATTTCTGAAACATGGTTCAAAAATGACTTAATTATAAATATTAGCAACTACAACTGCTTTTACAATAATAGAACAAACAAACAAGGTGGAGGTGTTGCAATTTTTACAAAATATGATATAATTGCTTATGAAGTATCAGTTTCACCTTTATATAAAGAAGTTGAACAAATATGGTGTAGTATTGTACTTCATAAAACAAAAATATTAGTTGGATGTATATACAGACCACCAAACAGTACTGACCTAATAAATAATGCAATTAATGAATTAATAAAAACTGCAAAAAAGGAAGTAATGAATGGAAAATACTCAAATGTAATAATTGTTGGTGATTTTAATTACCCAAATATTATTTGGAATGAAGACGGAACTATCGAGCTAAAGCAAAACTGCCAAACAAGCAGAGCATTTATTAATAACTTGCAAAACAATTATTTACATCAAGTAGTTAACAAGCCAAATTTTCAAATGGCTGTTGATAAACCAGCAAATATATTAGATTTAATAATATGCGACGATCTAGATTTAATAATTAACATTGAATATGATGCTCCACTTGGTCAAATTACTAAAAGCCATTACATATTAAAATGGGAAATTAACATACTCAATTCATATGAGAAAAAATTCAACAATAAGAGATTTAATTTTCGAAACGGAAAGTACAAAGAAATGAATCTCATGTTTTATAAAGTAAATTGGGTTGAAATCTTTGACAAAATGAATACAAATCAATGTTGTGAATACTTTTTAAAAATTTATGAAAAAGCTTGGAAACAATATATTCCTCGCCACTTCAAACCCACTAGTTCTATCAAAAATCCATGCATTAATAAAAAAATCAAGAATCTAGTTAGAAAAAAACGTAGTTTATGGTGCAGAGTTCGTGCTACAAACTTCAAGAACACAAACTTAAATAATAAATACAAACTTATCAACAAAACAATTAAAAAACAAATTAAAAAATCTACTTTTGATTATGAAATAAACTTAGCAAAAGATGTAAAACATAATCCAAAACGCTTCTATGCATATGCACAAAGAATAAACCAGACACATACAAAATTGCTAGCACTTAAAACTAGTGACAACAAAATAATAACTGATAAAAAAGTAATTGCTAATCTACTAAATTGTAGTTTCCAATCAGTATTTGTCAAAGAAAATCAAGATTTACCATATTTCAGCAATAAAACTAGTCATTTATTTGAATGTGACTGGGACCAAGAACTAAAAGAAGATATTATATTTAATTATTTATTAGAACTTAATGAAAACAAGTCACTTGGTTGTGATAACATCAGTCCCTATGTGCGAAAGCATTGTGCAGAAGGATTATCCAAACCTTTGTCTTTAATATTCAAGAAATCGATACATTCAGGAAAGCTGCCAGAATTATGGAAATCTGCAAACATTACACCACTTTTTGAAAAAGGAGACAAGAAAGATCCACTCAACTACAGACCTATCTCCTTAACATCGATACCAAGTAAGATAATAGAGAAAATAATTAGAAAAAAACTGATAATTTATATAACAGAAAACAATCTGTTAACGTCTCAACAACATGGATTTATACAAAATAAAGGGTGCCTAACAAACCTATTAGAAACTTTCGATATTATTACAACTGAAATTGAAAATGGTTATCCAGTTGATATATTGTTTCTAGATTTTGCAAAGGCGTTCGATAAGGTGCCCCACTATCGACTTATACATAAAATTTCTAACTATGGAATTAAAGGCAATATTTTAAATTGGATTGATTCTTTTTTAAAAAACAGAAAACAAAGAGTGGTAATGGGTGAAGTTGTATCAGATTGGTGCGAGGTTTATAGTGGTGTACCACAGGGCTCTGTATTAGGTCCTCTTCTTTTTCTGTTATATATCAATGATCTTCCCCAATGTATCTCTTCAATCACAAAATTATACGCTGATGATACTAAAATCATATCTGTTATAAAAGAACATAATGATCTAACTAATATGCAAAATGACATTGATTTGTTAACTGAAGGGTCAAATGTATGGTTAATGGACTTTAACATAAATAAATGCAGTGTTATGCACATTGGAAGAAAAAATATTAACTATAACTACACTATAAAGCACGACAATCAAAGTTTTCTTCTAAAAACAACAACAAAAGAACTAGACTTGGGTGTAATAGTTTCATCCAATATGAAATGGAATCATCAGGTTCAAGTAGCTACAAGTAAAGCACAAAGAATCTTATGTTTAATTAGAAAAAGCTTTACTTATCTTAACACTGAAATGGTAAGGCAACTATACACATAGTTGGTTAGACCACACTTGGAATTCGCAGCTCCAGTGTGGAGTCCAAGTAATAAAAACAATATCAATGACCTAGAAAAAATTCAAAGGCGAGCAACAAAGCTAGCCCCTGAACTAAAACATCTAAGTTATACCAAAAGATTGACAAAGTCGGGCCTCACAACTCTGGAAACAAGACGTATAAGAGGAGATCTCATTGCTTTCTTTAAATTAACAACTGGGATTGATAAGATATTATGGTATAAAGAGCCTAATAAAGCTTCTTCCCAGAGACTTCGAGGTCATCCAATGAAATTTGAAAGAGAATTTGCAAAAACAACACCGAGACATAATTTTTTTACGAACAGAGTGATACCTCATTGAAATGCTTTACCTGAAAAAGTGGTTTCTGCAATGGGGATCGCCTAAAACGCCGAATTCTAAAACGCCGAAAAGCCGAATTTCCCAATCATTGGACCCAGTTTCATTAACTTTAAATTTACAGGATGTTAGATAAACATCCTGCAAGTTTAAACCCAAAATATTAAGCTCTCTAATCAAAATTTCAGTCATTTGTTTTCCTGTGACTTATCAACTGGTAGAAAGCCCAAATTTAATTTTTATTTCAGCCTGACTGAAATCACGTTTATTGATTAAAACATATCTAATTTCAAAAAATATTTGGTGTAGATTACAAACTTCAGCAATGCAATCTAAAATTATGGAATAGTATTTTATTCGGATTTTTTGAAAAAGTTAAAGTATTTTATTTGGAATCTGGCAAAATAAAAGTTTAACTTTTCGTTTTTTTAAAGCATTTGAAAATCGCGTTTTTTACAAAGGTGTCCTTAACTACATCGAGTTATCGTTTTCTACATTTCCGCATTTTGCACGTGGCCTTTAAGATCATCTTTACAAAACACATTTCGTAAAATAATTTAGCTTGACTAAAAAGTTCTTTACTTACAAGTTTTTTTTTACAAAAGTTATCTTTAAAATAAAATGAAAGAAGCTAGTTCTTCCATCGATTTCAAAATTTATCTCGTAAGATTTATTCTATTAAAATTAATTCCGTACTCCCAGCTGATAAATTATTGTTTTTTTTTTTAAAGTATAATATAATGTTTATCAAAATAAACAATAAAAATATTTATGTTATTTAAAATGTTTATTATAATATATATATATATATATATATATATATATATATATATATATATATATATATATATATATATATATATATATATATATATATATATATATATATATATATATATATATATATATATATATATTATAATATATATATATTATAATATATATATATATATATATATATATATATATATATATATATATATATATATATATATATATATATATATATATATATATATATATATATATATATATTATAATATATATATATTATAATATATATATATATATATATATATATATATATATATATATATATATATATATATATATATATATATATATATATATTACTACTACTACTACTATTATTATTATTATTATTATTATTATTATTATTATTATTATTATTATTATTATTATTATTATTATTAATGTATTTAATTCAAACAACATGTACATATAAATAGGCACAAGGTCCATAGATAAAAATAAATAAAATAATAGTCAATAAAAAGAACAGATACAGTCATCTAAATTTATCCATCATTAGGACAGTCCTAATATTCTGTTAATTAAACCGAAAGTGAGGTTTCTTTTGGCACATTCAACAAGCTGTTTCTTTAAATTGATCCTATAGTTAAATAAAATAGTTTCAAAAGTTGGGAGCCTTAACTCTAAAAACATCTGAGTCAGACTGCATTATTTTCTATATCCAAAAAACATTTTTGAACATTTGTTATAGCAATATCGTAGGTGTGCTAATGTTCTTGTGCTAAAACTGTTCCATAAGGAAGCATTATATATACATATACAATGTGATTGGAATGGTCTTACTTTGACTAGGCTTGAACACGTGTAAAAGCGCCTTATTAGCATATTTGTTCGAGTATATAGATTTTTTATCTCTTTTTTTATATTAGTATCATCTGCTAGATCATTTCTCACAATATGACCAAGATATTTAAAGCTGTCAGCAAATTTCAGATTGCAACCTGCTACACTCAATTTTGGAAATGACAACGACACAATTTTTGATTTTTGCTTAGGGTTAAAAACCATACAAACTGTCTTCTTTGTGTTAAAAGACATTATTTAATAAGGCTTCGGTGTTAATTGCATTCAATAATTTTTGTAGAGACAACCATGATGGAGCTATAAGTACTATGTCATCAGCATAAGCAAGAATATTGAGAAAAATCCCTCATATATTGCAACCAATATATGAGAACCAAAGTAGGAGATTTAACTTTCTGCCAACTAATACACATTTCCTAGTTGCTGTACCAGAATGCAAGCAGACTTACAATATTTTTTGATATTTCTAATAGGTTACAGAACAGAAGCCAGTAATCAACGTTATCAAATGCTTTATTAAAATCTATAAACAATGTAAACATGTGACTACCTCTAGATTTGTAGTAATTAATAGCTTTCTTCAAAAAATTTGTGCATAAGGTTGTAGAATGCTTCTGTTTAAAACCAAACTGATAATCATCTAAATTGTCTGGTATATTTATTTTTTGTAACAAAATATTTTCAAATATTTTGGATATAGCTGGAGATATAGTGCAACCGCCCTTGTTTACATCAGTTAGGTTGGCCACTTTGCACTTCACCAAAGGAATAATCAAAGATTCACAGAACTTGGATGGTAAATATCCATGTCTTAAACAGAGATTAAAAAACATACTAATTAGAAGATGTAATCTTTTTCCACCGTATATAAAAGCTTCCATACATATACCATCAGGACCAGCTGCTTTTCCTGATATTTGATTTTTTAATCTCTCTACATATAAGCTATATCATTGTCTCCCGAGGCTCCTCCCACACTAGCAACGTAACTCACCGCTTTTTTGTTAGTGATACAATTTATACTGCTCCAAAACTTTTTTGGATTTTAGTTATAAAAATTTTCCGCACACTTATTAGCTTTTATTTGCTCACTATGTCTCTTAAATTGTCTCATAGCTAGTTTAAAAATGGCACGAGTACTCTTCATTTTCTCAAAAAGATCACCATGTTTTAGCATATATATATATATATATATATATATATATATATATATATATATATATATATATATATATATATATATATATATATATATATATATATATATATATATAATGAAAATGTTGTTTGTATATATTGCAATTAATATGTTATTGTATTATATTACAATGAATATATTATTACATTATATTACAATAAACGTATTATTATATTACATTACAATAACTATGTTATAGTACTATACTACAATGACTATGTATTATATTATATTACAATAAATATCAATAAGTGTTATTATATAATAACAAATGTACTAGTAAACAAAAACAGCAATAAAAAAAAAAAAAAAAAAAAAAAACAGCAACAACATAAAAACTCTCAATGAAATGTTGCATACTTTGCATTATGTTGTAGCTTTCAATAGAAGCATGGAAAAAAGTATTTGAAATTCACAGGGCTTTTTGATGTTATAAATACAACATAAGTTGGATTATATGTTTATATTAAAACATAAGTTTCATTAATAGTATTTTGTTTGTTCAACAAATAGCTTTTAAAAGAGTTATGGAAAAAAATATTGATGTCACATTACTATTTAATATTATAAGTAAGTATTAAAAAAGGCTCCTTTCTAGATTTTTCTAACTATCATTCCATTTCCTTTCTTTCCAACCTAAGCAAGCATTTTGAGAAGGTTATGCATAATAGGCTATACAAGTTTCTAAAAAAATTTAAATGCCTGTACCAACATCAATATGGATTTTGAAGCAAACATTCCACAGGACTTATTGAATTCCACACGTACTTATTGAAATTTATAAAAAGATTAGAAGAGCTCTAGATAATAAGCACTTTGCATATGGGGTGTTAATAGATTTCTAAAAAGTTTCTAATACTGATGAATTTTTCACAAAATTGGAGTTTTATGGAATCAGTTGCATTCCACTAAAATGGTTTACTTCATATCTCCAAAATAGAACATAGTTTGTTTCCATTAATGGTGCTAAATCTGATTTAAAGAATTGCTCAAATGGTGTCCCACAAGGTTCAGTTTTAGGACCACTTTTTTTTCTTCTTTTTATTAATGACTTGAATACTTCTTTTTAATTTGTAACTGGTTACCACTTTGCTCATGATACTAACATGCTACTGATTGACAAATCACTTAGAAAAATCAACAAAAATATTAATCACGATTTTGGAAATCTTGTTCAGTGGCCTCGTACTAATAAACTTTTTCTCAGTTCTAACAAAACAGAGCTGATCATCTTTAAATCCAATCTGGCACCAATTAATAAGCTCTTAAATTTCAGACTTAGCGGACAAAAAATTTATCCTTTAGACTCTATTAAATATCTTGGGATAAAAATTGATTTTAATCTTTCTTTTTAAGGCCATCTAAGTGGCATAGCAATGAAACTCAGCAGATCTAATGGAATGCCATATAAAGTCCGCCAATATGTAAATCTAGAAACTCTGCTAAATATATATCATGCATTTTTTGGTCCCATCTAAAAGTATGCATATCAAGTATGGGGACAATCCCATAAATTAATCTTTTTAAGGTTGTTCCATCTCCTAAATAAAGCCTTGAAAATAATATATTTTCAGTATAATAACTTTAAAAATGTGCTATAATAATTAAAATTTATCGACCTTGTGGTATTCCTAAACTGCCCGTTTGTCTGGAATTATCACAAAACCTTCCCCTATTATTCAACAATTTTCTTACAAGTACAAATTGTAACTTTCCTCTTTGCTCCATTAGTGGCTTAAACTTAGTTATTCCAAAACAGCACTCTGCTAAATATGGAAATAAATCCATTAAATATATTAGTATTAATGTATTAGCTCATGTAACTAACTACCCCCTGATATGAAATCTCGTAATTCAATCACTGAATTTAATAACAAGCTTTTTAATTATTTGTTAAAAAAAAAAAACAATTAAATATTTCTATAAATTAATATTGAAATTTTTTATTATATCTATCAATTCGTGATCCTTCAGTTTTAAATTTGATATTTTTAACATTTTAAAATTTTTTACTTACCCATCTACATCTAATTCCTCTGGTTTTCTATCTGTTATTTTTAATACTTTTATTAAATTTTTTATTCTAATATTAATATTAATACTTATATTTTGACATTATTTATCTCTTTTCATTCAAATATTCACTACTTCGTACTAAATCTTTGTTGTTGCTGTCATTGTTTACTAAATTTTTGTTGCTGCTGTTTGATTGTCTTTATTTATGAAATTGATTGTCTTGATTGTCTATGAAATTGATTATCTGATTGTCTTTATTTATGAATTTCTCCTTTTATTATAATTGTTATCATCATTTATTTTTTTATTATTATTGTTATTAATAATATTTTCATTATTATTATTATTATTATTATTATTATTATTATTATTATTATTATTATTATTAGTATTATTATTATTATTAGTATTATTATTATTATTAGTATTAATGATATTAGTTATTATTACTATTTTCATCATTGTCTATGTTGTATATTCAGGTATTTACTTTATATTAGTACTTGTACTAAAATTTCCTTAAAATGTTATAACTTATTTCAAAATATATTTGATTGATTGAAGTATGAAATTATGATGGGGTGATTCTGCAGTTTAGCTAAAATAATTTTAAATAGAGACTTGAAAAACATAATATATTTGTTATTGGTATTATAATTGTTATTTTAAGTATTTTTAAAGAGTTTATAATGAGTAGCAAAATAAGAATAATAAAGAAATTATTATGAGTATACAAATAATTATTATTATTTATTATTATTTTTTTATATGTTTTTTTATAACCTTTTCTGTTTTTTCAAAAACAAAAAATTAATTTATTTTAGGCTTCTTAACTTCTGGATTATGATTATATGGATAATATTTATAGTTAAACATAAGTTGCCTCATATTTTTTCAACAAATTGCTTTCAAAAGAGGCATGGAAAATAATATTGATAGTTTTGCAACACTGTTTAATGTTACATTATTTATATTATATTTGTTCAACAAATAGGTATTTTTACATTTCTTGTCTTTTTTACAATTTAGTTTTTAATGATGAAAATAGCTATGAAGAGTTTGTCAGCCCTTAGAATTAGGGACAGCATTCTGCAATGCCGACCTAACTGCGGACCTAAACATTTTTAATTTCAGCACTTTGCAAATATAATATTAAAACCTTTAATTCCACTTTCCATAAAAACAAGTTAAAGTTTACGTTGGTGAATACGTCAAAGTTTTACATGTTAGTAACAATAATTGAAAAACATTTTTTACTTTGACACAATGAAATGTAAAGTTATTGTCATTGAAGACTCCTTTATTATATTTTTTTAAATTGATAATGATTAACATCTTCACTTCTTTGTTTAAAGCTAATGGCATTAATAGATTTTGGGTTAAATTGATGATAGCTCCCAGTTCCAGAAATTAAAGAAGTTTTACAATTAAAAGTAATTAGTGTAGATGGAAAAAAGACAAATATTCATTATATTTTGTGATGCCAGAGTAATGGGAACCCTGTCTTGTATTGAAACACTAAAGACAAATATCATCTCCTTTTTACTTGTTAAAATGATCCTTTTTCTGGTAGTTATATGGCACACATGTTATAATAGAAAATGATAAAGATAGTACATTGGTTTCAGCAATGTCTTAACTGAATATGATAATGTTAAAAGTTCAGAAGCAATTGTTTTTAAGAAAACATGTTCTAACACTTATGTAGATCATGGTTTAGTTATCAAATTAGAAAAGCTTTGGGAATGTAGCATTTATTTAGAAGATTGTTTGCTTAACCAGTGTGAGGTACCACTTGGCCAAATTATATCTTGAATAGGTGGAAAAATCAATGATTTTAAAAAGTATAAAGGCTCTTTAGTTGAACTAGCATCTAACATTTTTATGCGTGAACAATCTTTAATTTAAGAATTTATAGTTTATGAAAGAACTTAAATACCTTCACATGATTTAAACTGCATCACAAAGTGCAGGTTTCCTGTCCTATGTGGTTTGCTGCAAAAAGTTTATGACATTACAAAGATACACCAAGATGCAAAATCTTTAAGGTAACTCTTACTGCTTCTGTCAAAAAATTTTATGTTTTGCTACTAGATGATGAAAAAGTTGTAAGAGGGTTATTAGTTAATTAGTTAATTAGTAATTGTGCTATTAATCAAGTCTTGCAGATTAGGCTTTCTAGGGAAATTGATTGAGGTTTTAAGGCTAAAATTAAAGCTATGCGATAGTTATGCTCTTATACTTCTAAGCTGGTGTTTAGACAGATTAAGTCATTTAGTTAAGATTGCTTTAATACATGCTCAGCCTCCTAATGCAGTTTTTGTTTCTTTATATGAGTAACTACAAGCTATTCAAACTGGTAATAAACAGAGGTGGACAGGAAAGGCGTGTAATCGCACTCCAATCTTGACCACGCATGTGATTGTTATTTTTTTTAAAGCTTGACCTCAGCTTTTTAGATAACTAAAAAAAGCGCTGAAAAAAATTTACTAAGGAAAAAAAAATTTAACCAGGCTGAAACCATGTAAAAAAGAAAGAAATCTTAACAAGAAAGAAATTAAATAAAAAATTAAAACCTATAACTTTATAAAAAAAAAACGAGTATAAATCTGAAAAACCAAACTTCTGATAGAAAATTATTTTTCTTATGCTTTGGACGTTAAAGTTGAATAACTCGTTGTTGGTTTAACAAGTTTCAAACAGATTTACTAGAATAGCAATTAAATTTTTTTTTCTTTTTTTTAATGTCTTAATAAAAATAATTATATGACTATTTTTATTTATTTAAATTTTTTTATATATCAATCAAAAAAAGAATACATAAATAAATGTAAAAAAATAATATAAATAATTTTAATTAAATATTAAAAAAAATTAAAGGATTTTTTTAAAATTCTCCTGACACAGTTATTAACCTTTTGAGAACAATGTGACGCCACTTATATGGAAAGTTAGCGTACACATCAAGGTACCCTGTGATTTTGAAATCATTTAATTTTGTCCGCAGAAAATAATTTAATTTTAATGTTCAAATTAAGTCAAATATTGACTTTATAGTGCACCATTAAAAACACTTGTAGACTTTGAACCACTCAATATAATTTGATAAAAATTAGTGCAAATGTGGCCAATGGTCACACCAAACTCTGGACAAAATTTCAGCCTGATTGGATGACTGATGTAGGATTTATTGCAGTTTTATTTTAAGTTTTGTCAGTTTTTTGCTACTTATACCTCAAAGCGTTACCGATTACTTTGAAATTTGTTCACTATTTTTAAAATAATAGTTGCATGAGTGTTCTACTATGTAATACCAACAATTTTTGTTATAATTATTTTATCTGTACATGTATGGTTTTCATTTTATAAACAAAAATAGTGATTTGCTACTAAAAGCGTGATTTAAAATGGACTTATGCTAATAGTGTCAACACGCCCTTCAAAGTGGAGGGGGTCAACCCCTCAATTTCTAAAATAAAATCCATAATTTCTAAAATAATTGCCCATATTTCTAAAACAAAGATCCTCGCAAAAAAAAAGTAGGCCGTCAATGTCTAGCCTCCCCGGCGTTGACGGCCGTGTATGCTTCGCTTGAATATATCAACTTTTGCTTAAGTATAAACTGCTGCCAAAATAAAAAGCTGAAAAAAAGTGCAAAACCTGGTCAAAGGACTACCAGTTAGTAAAACAAAAAAAAAAAGATCTAAAATACTTTGTATTGACCTCTTTAAATACATTTACTTTTAAAATGAAGTAAAAACTATTTAAAACCTATTTTTTACATTGTATTACCATCCAATATCTAACTACATTTTAAGAAATGTTTTTTTGATTTTTTCCATCAAAAGATTAATTATAAAAAGCTCTATGTACTCTTTTAATACAAATACTCTATAATATTACTTTTAAAGATGGTGAAAATATTCATTATACGCCGTAAAATATGAATTTTAGCAGCCTAATATCTAATAACTCAAATGATGTTCTTTAAAGATGCTTACTGTTTAGATCAATTATGCAGCGCAACAATCTTTCTTTGTACTCTAGATGATTATTATTTAGGTTATACCTCGATCAATTTTGATAAAAATCTGGATGAGAAGTTTTGACAGTTGGCTCACTATAGGGCCCTCAGGATAATCCTTTGTGTCTGATGAAATCCTTGATGTGGTAGAAGACGGCGTGAATTTTGGGTGTTACTCTTGCACCAGTTATCATTAGGTAACACTTTTTGAAATTTTCAATTTTTTCAGCAAAATCCGGCTGAAGGATGTATCCAAATCAAGCCTTGACAACTAAATTAAAGTTTTTGAAAGCTTCAATTATGCACACAATATTGGGAACCATGTTTGTCTCAGCAAGTTGCTGCAGCATATCCACATTTTTAAGAAGCTCTGTTGAATGTGGAGGGCGGCTGGCCACTTATCAGCTTCTATCCAAGCAGTTTCAAGGATTTTGAAAAGATAGTTGACAAGTCCTAAGAGGAGATGCAATTCCATCGGTGGAATGATTTCCAAAATCAGAACATTGACAGGCCCGCAGATGATTGGCTTTCAAATGACATTGCCAAACAGCTTTGCATTAGCTACAACCCCGCCTGATTGCTGAAAAGACTCAAGGCTTGAATTAATTGAGCCCAGTGTTCGCAAGTTTCCATATTTGGCAAGACAATTGGATTTGACGTCACACCAGGTGCAAGGGTATGTACTTGAATGAGTTTGAAGACTACAAACTATATTTGCAACTTTCTTATCACAAACCAAAATTAGTTTAACTCCATTTGCATTATTCAGTGACCAGATTTGTTCAATATTGAAGTGTGTTTCTGTTAAATCTTCTGAAACCCCAACAATAACTTGACTCTTGACTCCAGTGTCATTACCAGTCCTTTGAGTGAGAGGTTGTTGTTGGTGCGGTCAGCTGGTTTCATCCCTTAACGCAGTATCAACTATGCTAAGGCAAAATTTGAAAAAACCTTTGCCACCATCAATTCCGAGCTTAACAAAATAGCCACTAGAAATTTTGCGGGACTGAATAACATAATTTACAAGACTTGATAAATCATTAAAGTGAGCAACAACATGAACTGTACAAGAGTTTGTTTTTTCGTCTGTGATTTTTAAGTCGCTGCAGGTAATGAAATCGCTAAATTGTTGACCTAGTCTTAGAAAATTCGTGTAGAAGTTTCGCTCTACCATCTTGCTGCTTGATGTTTTGTTTAAGTTCTAACAAGTTTCTTTAATCCGTTGTTTGACAGGCCCGTATTTAATTACACATTTACTAGGGCTACAGTGGTCAATTTTGAAGCACTTGATAGTGTCTGCGCACTACTTTGACCTAAAACCAAAACATACATTTTTTATAGTTACAATAAACTTTGTTTAGTAAGTTTGTGTAAAACTTTCAAATATTCGTTTGTAAAGAAATTAGAAACTTGTCAAAAATATATTTCTTGAAATCTATCTAGTGTTATTTCTTAATAGTCAAGACTTTATTTCAATATATATGTTAAAATTATTTAAGTATAAGCATTTACCAGGGGTAACTGTAATTGGAGGCCCGCCGGATGCTTTAGCCAGCAGAAAAGTTTCTTCCAGAGATTTGTTCGGATGATTTGGCATCTTTTGCTGCTAAACATTGAATGTTTTTCCTTAACATTATTTAAGAGCATTGGTGGGGCAAACTTTTCCTAAAAGGCTGAGGCATTTTCTGCAACGCATCATTGGCTTTTTCTCAATAGAGGTTTGCTTTACAAGAGGACGTTTTTCTTGCAGCTTTAAACGACCAATTTGGCATATTAGGCAACAACACATCGTGCCACTTGTTTCAGGTCTAACTTGTATTGACTTAAAATCAAACAAAGGAGGGAGGGCAACTTCTTTCCCCTCTTGTTTCCTGCGCAAAGTAATTCTATACAATTTGCAGAATCCATTTGGTAGCCGAGTATCATTGATATTGATATTGGTCTTGTTCAGTTGGCATATTCGATCTGCTTGAAAAGTAGTAAGCTTAAACATTTTTTCAGACAGAGCAAGCACACAAACTTTTGATTTTCATCATGATTCTTTGCTTGATATGGCATCGTAGCAATTCACTAAATTTGACTTCACTAAATCAAACTCTGCATTTTACAAAATTTGACCTAAATTTATATTTGATAACAATCCACTTAACATAGTAACACATATTATTAATTAAAAACTATTAAAATAAAAGAAATATTTACTTGATTTAATTGAGGTAATATAAAATTACAAGGAAGTAATTCTTGAATAGTTCTTTCCTTACCAGGAAACAATTGTTTAAATATTTACTTGTAAGGAATTATAGGTATTCCTAGAAATCCTTCTTAACCATTTTTATAGAATTTTTTTTGCATTCTGGCATTAGTTTATTCCTTTGGAAATGTTGGTGTATTCATGCTATGCATACATGGCCGTCGAGGGAGCTGTGACCTGCCCACTTCTTTTTTGCGAGGACCTTTTGTTAAAGAAATATAGGCAATTGATTTAGAAATTATGAAATTTATTTTAGAAATTAAGGGGTTGACCCCCTCCACTTTGAAGGCCGTGTCAGCGCCATTGGCTTAAAGTAGCAAATCACTCTTTTGGTCTATAAAATGAAAACTGTACATGTACCAATAAAATAATTATTAGAAAAGTTGTTGGTATTACATAGTAGAACACTCATGTAACTGTTATTTTAAAAATAGTGACCAAATTTCAAAGTAATCGGTAACGCTTTGAGGTATAAATAGCAAAAAACTAACAAAACTTAAAATAAGATTACATGGTTATTGTGGCATTATTTAGATTGTAGATTACATTATTTAGATTGTAGATTACATGATGTAGATTACATGATTATTGTGGCATTATTGTTCACTTCAGTACAAGATACTTATTATTTCAGGAATCTCAGAGTAAACCTTTTCAGAATTCATAACATTTCTTCCCGAAAAGCGACTGTTTTTGTTTATTATGAACGGTAAGGTGATAAAGGTTCTAACAAGTTGTGTTCTATGCTAATGTGGTACATAAAAAACAAAAATTCAGATGAAGTTAAAATTTGCACTTTTTCAGTGACAACTGTACTTGTCAAAACAATAACTATATCTTTGTTAGACCTATGATGTAACATTTTTTTATGTCTAATGACCGTGATTAGACCTATGATGCCAGCGGAAAAATCTAGCAACTGTATCAGAAGCATTCTATAAAATTTTCAATAATGGCTCCTGATATTATACCATACATGACACGACATATGTCAGATTAAATTTCTTCAAACATACATATTTATTATATTTTAGCATACTGTAGTAAGCCAAAAATCAGCTCAAAGAATAGTTTTAATAGCTAAAATCATAACAGTGGTTATGGTTTCAGCTATTAAAACCATAACCACTGTTATGGTTTTAATAGCTATTAAGATTACGCCTATGATGTAACATTTGTTTATGTCTAAGAACTAAGAAAAGTAAAGATATTATGAAACTGTTAAAGTAGTTATTCTGATTAACAATTCTTTAAAAATTTCTGGAAAGTTTGCATTGAAGAAAATGTCATTTAAAGATTTCATTAACTATGGGCCCAGGTTTTAATAAAATCTAACAAAACAAAATTTACTATGTCAAAGTACCGTATGATTTCACTTTTTTTCTGATGAATAATGGAAATTGAATGCAGTATGCATATTGGTCTCGAACCACAGATATTCCATTTACAAATTCAACGCCTCACCCAAATATGCTAAACACACGTATAAGTACAAAAACAATCAATATAAAATATAATATAAAAGTTTTATTCTTTTTTCCATATCAAAAATAAACTTAATTAAAATTAACTAAATTAATTGACTTATTATCTGACAATCAGACAGAGCAAACAAACAAACAATCAGACTCTGTCTGATTGTTTGTTTTGTTTGCTTGTTTGTGAGCATCTAATCTTGCAATCAATTTTTGAGTCACTTTCTGACGATATATTTACTTCAAATTTTGCATACATACTCTTGCTTGATGACAATACAATATTCAATAATTAGTTTTGTAATAAGTCAATTAATTTAGTTAATTTTAATTAAGTTTATTTTTTTTACTTTCTGACGATTTATTTTCTTCAAACTTTGTGTTGTAAAATTTCCAACTTTGTTTTGTAAAGTTTACAACTTCAAATTTTGTTGTAAAGTTTACAACTTTAAATTTTGTGTTGTAAAGTTTACAAAACGAAAAATATGGCTTAAAACGACAGAAAACTTTGAAACACGAACTAATCAAACCAGTTAGTTCATCAGGAGGTTTTCTGATGAACTAATATTTTTATCCTAACCTTTTTTAAACATTTTATTTTTTTTGATTTGATTCAATTTGTCTTTGAATGAAATGCTAAAAGTAGATAATAAAATAAGAATCCATCTTCAAAATTTTTAATGATTAAAGATTTTCAAGATTTTCAATGATTGAAGTTTTTAAATCCCTTAATGGTTTAAACCCTGAATCTGAAATGAAGGGCTTATTATAAAGATGTTTACCATTTCAACTTAGATGTTGCAATAAATTGATGCTACTGCCCAAAGGCTCTAATCATAAAAATCCAAAAAATATTTTTAATAAAACGCTCTAGAATTCCTTTGACAATAAAACCATGTGCTCGAAAAGTCTCCATGTGTTTAGAAATAGTATGTTACATTAGAATGGGGGGCGGGGGGAGATCTGTTTTTGTAAAATTTAAGTTTATTTATTATTATTACTAATCATGTCATTTTTTACGAATTAATAAATTTATTTGATTTTTTGACGGTATTTATAAAGATTTTTTTTTCTTTTTAATATTTTTATGTACGATATTTTATTTAAATAAGTTGTTATGCAAGTTGTTACTAATTTTGGTGTTTGTTTGTATTGTCTATGCAGTTAATTATTTTGATCTTAATTAGTTAATTTATAAACTACTGTATGCCCTCAACTATAAATAAAGTTTTATAGTGGATTGTATTATATAAATTTCATTAAAATACATATTTTCTTATTTATATAAAACATAAACAAAAAGCTTTACAATGGGAGCACTTACTGCAGCTCAACGCTACGAGAAAGAGTTGAAAATAAACAATGTGGACTACAAGTACGTATGTACTTTCAAAGAAGAAATATTTCAATTACAAGTTATCAAATTTAACATGTTTATTTACACAAAAGAGTTTGACTACACATTTGTAATAGAAAATGATGATAATTGGAAAATTTTTAAGGATTCGAATAAAGTATGGAATTATTTAAGTTTTAAAAGAGAACCAAAGCATATTGGATTAATAGAGCAAAAGGATAGTATTACAATTAATTTGGATTGGATGCTTGGTGAGGATGAAATTCCTTTAAAATTAACAATAGTTCTTATGAAGGAAAATGAATCTTCTGAAATTGTTATTCAAGAAATTGGAAAAACTTTATTTGAGTTAAAAAAACAATGCTTAGAATTGAAAAATGAAAACAAAAGTATGAAAAAATACTTTACCTACTATAACGTTAATCTTTATTGCAAAGTCAAATGTCTCATTTACAAAGATATTTTTAATGCGAAAAATGAAGGTATAATTAAAAAAGTCGGATATCCTGCATACAACGATACTACTTACCCGAATACTAACAAATTTAACAGTCAATCAATTATTCTGTATGGTGCTCCTAATGAAAAAACTGGAAATGGAGCAGAAATCATTATTCCTGATGGCTATAATTTATTATGGGTAAGGATTCTAAATGATAGATGGACACACTTCAATGCGACTTTTAATGATGGGAATAAAGAGAATATTGGGCAATTTATGGATGGATTTCGGCTTTTAAACTCGATTTCTCCTAAAGGTATATCCAATGATGCATCATACAATCATCATACTTGGTTTCCAATTCCTGTTAGAAGATCTGGCAAAATTATTTTAACTTCTGGTGCAAAAACAAATAATAATTTTTGGATTTCAGGTATTGCATTTGGTTTAAATATTTGGAACATTGCTTATAACTCTGCTCCTGCTTATACACATTACATTAATGGAGGAAGTGGTGTAACAGCACACGATAATTGGAATAATGATCCGTTATGTTATGTTGCGCCTAAAAGTATTGGAATTTTATACATTCCAGTTATACCCTCTAAATATGATAAGCTTTTGTACTTTGTTGGACATAATGATACTTGGAACGAAAATCAAATTACTAAACTAACAGTTAATGATAAAGTTGTTGATACCTTCTCTGATAATTATGACAATCCTATTGCAAGGCATCACAATGGAAAAATTTATTCTAGATATTATGCGACTTTAATACCTAAAGAATTAATACCAGAAGATTCTTTCTTCCTAAAAGTAGAGTTTGATATGACCGATCAAATTACTAATGGGTTTTATATAAGAGAATGCGGAACACATGATAACCTTAATCCTTTTAATATTATTCAATAAAGTTTAATATTTGGAAAAAACTTTTGGACTAAAAAAGTGATGATAGAGTAATAGTAAAAATCACTTTATTTTTACTAATTATTAACTTTATTTAAATTCTTCTTTAGAAAAGTCGAATATTTGAGAATTATACTATTTGATTGTATCTAATAAGTGGGTTTTACAACTTTTTTTGAAGTTTCTTTATCGAATTTTGAATACGTTAAAATCTTAAAGATCTCTCTTTTTTTTGTGTGAGTTTTCGTAGAAGATACTTGAATAAGAACTATAAACATTTTCGTAGAAGATACTTGAATAAGAACTATAAAAATCGGTGAGCGTTTTAACATTTATAAGAGAATTTTTTTAATAAATAAACATATTTTATAATATTTCTTAATATATAATTAACTAAGACTAATATGATTTTAAATTAGCAAAGAACTAAATTTTTTGCAGAATTTCCTACTGACTATTTAAATATAGCATGTAGTCATACTTAATTTGATATTTTATAATTGAATTGAATCCAAAAAAGTGTTTAGTCATGACAACCATGGTTTAGGAGAAGACAAAAAAAAAAAAGCTGTACAAGTGATGAACAAAACTTTCATCTTTTGCATCTAAAAAGACTATTTAGCTTCAGTTGAACAAAAGTATATAAAAATTATGTCAAAAGATATATCTTTTATTTTAGGTGCTTGACTGAGCTCGTTTTAGCTTAAAATCGTAAAAAAACATTTGTTTTTTTGATAATTAAATATTATTTTTCATTTATTGTACTATATTTACTGCTAATGTATCAATATTAACAATAATCTCACACTAGAAATCTGGCCGTACTTTGTAAAAATTGTAGCCAGATTTCTAAAATTGCAACTTTGAGGGGTAATTTTAACAATATGAACTTGAGAAAATTTTTTTTGTTGAAGCAGGGGGGTGGACGCGGTGCCCAGCTAATATAATTTTTTTGTTTTTTTTTTTATTTTATAGTTATCATTACAGGCATTATTATAAAATAAAAAAACCCAACTTCTTAAAAAAATTTTCCACTATAGTAAAAAAAATTTTAAGATATTGGATTTTGTGGGGGTCTCCGACCAACTAGCCACGTCACTGCTTCTTAATGTAATAAAAATTCCACTATGCATATTCAATTTACTTTGCCTTTTTGAATATAGATCAAGGCTTAAATTAGTTCACTTTAGTCGTTAACGGTGAACAGTGCTGGCTGCGCTGACCTCATTTCAGCAATCAATCAGGTTCGTGAGTTTGTTATAGGAAGTATTTTTTTAAATGATTTAAATGTGGTATAAAATATTTTGAAGTCTATATCTGAAGATTATTGATATTATGAAGTCTATATCAAATCTGTGATTATGAACTATGATATTATGAAGTCGAATCCTTAAAATCATTTTGAACCTGGATCTCCTGCTTATAAAGCGCTCTAATGTCTCAATGCAAATAAATCAACTGGAGGTTACCGTATCAGCCCATTTGTGCTTAAAGCATGTGCTGATGCAGCGGCTACTCCATTCGCCATCATTTTTCAGAAATCGGTAGATCAAGGTGTAATCCCAAAAACGTGGCTTTCGGCAAACGTGACGTTACTGTTCAAAAAAGGCTCCAGACTCGACCCAAAAAACTACAGGCCATCGCCTCTGCGCAATGCAAAATAATGAAAAAAAAAATAGTTGAAGAAAAGATCGTCCAGCACCTTGTAGCTCATAAATTTATTGCCAATTGTTAACAAGACTTCATTAATAAAAAAGGCTGCGTTACAAATCTGCTTGAGGCCATGGACTTTCTGGCCTACAGCGTTATCCACCTGGGTAAAAGTTACCAGTGGTGTTCCGTAAGGTTCAGTGTTAGGTCTTACGTTGTTCATAAAACTTATATATGACTTACCGGAACACATCAGTTGCAAAAACTTATTTAAAATGTATGCAGACAATGTTAAAATCGTGTCGTCAAAAACCGCTGAAGCTCGTCTGCAACCCGATATAGATAGGCTTTTCACCTGGACTATTGAGTCCAGGTGACAAACCTATATAAGTATATACCTATATAAGTTTGTCACCTGGACCTGATTGATTGACTAACACGACGCTAGTCTATCAATCAGGTCCAGTTAACGTCGTGCTAGTTCATCACGAATGTTGAACTAACACGACGCTAACGGCAGCGTCATTAGAACAGAACTTGAGTCTTCAACATCCGAAAAAGACCTAGGGGTTCAAATCTCGAACGATTTAAAGCATAAGAGGTAAGCAAAAATAGCCGCTATCAAGGCCAATTACAGCGCATCATCCGTGCAATTTCGCACGAGCTAGCACGGCTAGCTGTTGATGGGTTTACGGAACACGCCCAGAAAGTCACGGTCAGTCCTGTTTTGTAAGTGCAGTGATTGAGTCTTTTTCACTTGTTTGCATTTTTTTTTAATTAGAAATCGTTTTTGTTTTATAAAAAATAGGACACCAATTTTTAAGTTTTAACATATCACTCGTTTCTTATCTTGTAACATAAAATTACCTTCTTTACTTTGTCATGGCAGAACAGTTCATTAAGGTGGCAAATCTGGTCAACAGAGAACAATGAGTCAATCTGAATCAAATTTAAGCAATATGGTTTAAGTCTTTTTTATGGTTCTAAACTGGTCACAAATGAGACGTGAGTGGCCGCTGAATGGGTAAAACTGCTCAACCAAATAAAACATGTTTATTACAAGTATCCGTTCAGTACAAACAGTAATTTAGACGATTGTTTTTTTATTCTGTCTCCAACAGTTTTCAGATTGCAAGCTCAGTTGTACTCATTAGACGCACGAATATTTTTCAGATAGTCCAACAACATGAAGCACACTCTATATAGACCTTTGCCAGCTCGGTAGCAATTTATAAAATAAAACAATTTATAGTTACAAACAAAATCTTTTCAATATAAAAGTGGAATATTCATTAAAATTAATGTACACTCTTAACTAAAAGGTGTAAAATTATATCGATTTGGTGTTAATGTTTCCTCAAACGGTGTTTTTTGAAACTTATTTAAGCAAAAAGTTTAAATTTACACCGTTTTGGTGTAATTATGCACTCTGAAGGTTATTTTTTAATAAAACGGTGTAAAATAACATTTTTTTAAATTCACTACATCGTTTTAAAAAGGTGTAAAAATTGAATATTGTGATGTGTTTTTTTTACACTTTTTATTAAAACGGTGTAAAACGGTATAAAAAAACGGTATTAAAAGGTGGAAAAGAATAAAAACTTAAGAATGATTTTTACATCTTTTTGAAACGGTGTAGTAAATATAAAAAGGTATTATTTTACACCGTTTTATTATAAGTTAACTTTCAGAGTGAACATTCCTAATTAAAAGGTGTAAAATTACACCGTTTACATAACTTCAAACGGTGCTTCTTGAAAGTTATTTAAGCAAAAAGTTTAAATTTACACCGTTTATTTTACTTATTATTTTTAGTAGTTACTAATGATATACGTTTCTTTTAATTTATTAATTATTAAATCTTTTTGTATATGTTAGTATTTACTTATTTGAATACCTAAAATTGCAATATAGTTATTGCAAAATATCTTTGTAATTGTAAAAATAATTTACTTTCTTATTATATCTTTAGTTTATTTTATATATTTTTTATTTTGTTACTTTTACATCTTTATTGTAATTAAATTTTTTAGATTTTTATAACTCCTTTTGAATATTTTATTTTGAAATATCAATATTTTATTATATTAAGGGGCTCTATGAAAAGATTGAGGTGATTTTGCATCATCCATATCTTCTTTGAATCCCCGTCTGTTTTTAAAAATTTTATTTATTAATGTACCATGTAAAACTCACCTGTAATTTATTTTAACAGCGAAATATAAAATGAAATAAAAATAAAATAAAAAGAATTTGTTCCACGTGTTATTCAGGATCGTCTTCTTCTAAATAACATCAATATCACATCTCCTCTCTCGAATCAAAAATAAATAAATTAAAAGAACTGCAGTTTCTCCTTAAAAATATATTATTTTTATTTTATATATATATATATATATATTTTTTCTAAAGGACCTTTTTTTTTATTTAAAAAAAATCTTGATTTAGAGGCCTTTTTTCACAAATTGATTATTATGCCCCCCCCCCCTTACTTCAAAACCCGTGTCGTCGGCCCTGTATATATATCCCCCTCCCTAATCACCACCAAAACAATAATAATAAAAAATAAAATTATTTTTTCTAGTATTCACAATATATTTTATAAATTCTGTATTTAAGACACTTCACGAACTAAACAATTAAACACAAAGCAAAAAAAAAAAAAAATTTCAGATTTGCTATCAAATTTTTATGGCTTTTCTAGCATCAAAGTTGGAAGTTACAACATCTTAATTAACTTTCTTCGCAAGATCTGTTTCGATTGAAAAAATAATACAATCGTTAAGACAATCCTTTCCTATAGTAGCTCTTAGGGAGTATTTGACCAGCTAATAGATCTCTCGCCTTCAGCCAAAGATACTAGCAAATTAAAAAGAATACAAAGACAGATAGATATCTGGGGGAAATTTACTTCAAATCCTTTGCTACGATATGTATATGTATATATATATATATATATATATATATATATATATATATATATATATATATATATATATATATATATATATATATATATATATATATATATATATATATCGTCACCAAGAGGCCGTATGTCCACATTTTGTATTTTTTCAGTTTATTATTCATAAATATCCAACAACCAATAATGTATGTGTCTAATAAATCTAGTTTTAAGAATGTTACAACTTTTAAAAATATTTAAAAAATTATTCGGGCATTCTGGCAGAAAGTCTTGAAAAATTAAACTTTAAAACTTGATTTTCTCAGAAACACAAAAATATGGACATACAGCCTCTTGGTACTTGGCTGACGATATAGTGTAAGCATCTATTAAATGCTTATAGTAAAAAATCTATTAAATCGCTTTTTCATCCAGAAACTTTTCGATAACATTTAAACTACTTTTCATCTAAGTGAAAACATTTTAACGACAATAAAATAGTTCCACTTTTTTTATTTTTGACGAATAAAATTATACTGAGATCATACTCAGTATAATGTTTGCTTTAAAGCTAAAATTCAATGAAATATCTCACTTTTTTTTTGGCTTAAGAAATGTATTTTTTTACTTTGAAAAATGTATACTTTCGTTAAAAAAGAATCAAAATTATTTTTTTAAATTACAGTCTTTACATTTTTAATGGACTTTGTAGATCACATCTTCTAAACATAATATCTTCTCAAATAGACGATTACAAAATGTAAATAATATTGCAGATGCATGGGAGAAACAGAGTCTATTTCCTACAGCCCATGTTTTTTTTTTCCACCACAATAGCTTAAATAATTCAAAAATATAAATCCATAAGTAAGTAAATATTAATCCATAAATAATATGTTAAGTGACATAATGCTTTAGGGCTTTAAAAGCAGAACTTAAAATTTCAAACAATATTAGTGGTAAATGGTAAAATATTGATTAAAAAAAACAAACTTCCCCAATCAAAATAAGTTTATGGATAAAAACTTATTTTGGTCATGGAAAAACAAAAGGATATGACTTTAAAAATTATATCCTTTTGTCCATTTATGAATGTGGTTATGTTAAATAAAGTTCTAGAAATGAGAAAGCCGAGAATAAATTAACTTTCCAATTAAAATTTTTGTCTGGAAAGAGTTTATTCGCTGAATAAGAGTTGATTTTAAATAATTAATAAATGTAGCCATTAAATACTTATGGCCATTTTATCAATCGTTTACCTTATATATATATATATATATATGTGTGTGTGTTTGTGTGTGTATATATATTAGTGTATTGTTACGACAATAAAATAATTTGACTATCGAATAAATCGACTAATATATTTTCTAAAGTCGATTAAAATTGACTAATACATTTTCAAAATTGATTTTTTTATCTAAAAATTTTATTTTTTCGAATTAAACTGTCATAAAAATAATAAAGCAGTTTATTATTTACTTTCTTCTTTTTAACATCATATCATTTAAATGTTAATAGAGCAAAACAATATGAAAGAAGGGCCCCTCGGACAACTGGACAACATATTTTTAGACTCCAATCAGTTCAGAATTGTCTCAAATACTTGCTATATATCAAAGTCTTCACAATAATATTTATAATGTATTATTGGTAATAATAAAATATAGATGTAATATTAATAATAATGCAATATAAATGACATTTAGATTTTGGAACTTCACAACTTAATTTTGCCCCAGCACCCCGAGCCTGCTTGAAACGGCCCTCTATGAAAGTAATTATGAAAATCGAAAGCATCGAGTAAACAAAAAAAAAAAAAAAATTTAATGTTATAAAAACCTGATAGTTTAAATTAGATATAAGTAAAAATAATTAACAAATATTTCTTTGCGTGATTTTTTAAACTAAAATTTCACTTCGTACCAAATTATGCGCGTTCAGTTTGTCTTAAATGATATTCTGCCTTTTGCAGTTAATACGTTTGGTTATTGTTAAATACTTCTCATAAAGATTTGTACTATTTAATACTTTTTTTAAAATGTTGCAATTATGTTTCATTTGTAGTAAACTTTGTGGAAATTCATGTGCAGTGCCGTAAAATGTATACTCAGAAAAGTTCTATTGCGGCATTTAAAAGACAACAACATATGGATCAAGCCAGTACATCCAAAACTAGTCCACCTTTAGACGATATTTTGTCTGCCTTTTTTTCCCGTGAAGTTTGGGAAGTCAGACGAGAAAACTTTGGTTATTTAAAAAAATTAAAAATGGCGAAAAATATTTACGCTTAGCAAGTTTAAGGACGGGGATAATAAACTTTAAAAAAAAACAATTATCAACCATTTTCAACAAATTTAAGTTACGTCTAATATATTTTGTTAATTATTTTTAATTTACAAACTAAAAAAAGGCACATTATTAATGTTTTTTCTGATTGCAGATTTATAAAAATAATAATACATTTTTTTTTTTTTTCTTACTCATTAGTAGTGGTCAAATTCAGTCAGATCATCTTCAAATTTAATTTATTAAAATCAAACATTTTGTTTTGCTTTATATATACTTATTTTTGGTTTACTTTTATATTGCAAAAATCACAATGTTTAATTGCTTAAAAAAAAAAACATTTTACCATTGCCAAAAAAAGGGCACTCCCTTATGAGGTTTTCTTACCTCCTAATTCATTAAGCGTGGGCATTATGTCTCCATTATATTACACAAAAGTATTAATTCTATGATGATGGTTCCATTATATCACACAAAAGTATTAATTCTATGATATGAAAAATTAATCTATGGGATAATAAGGGAAAAATAACAGAAGCTGGCCTACATATAGAAATTGCATAAATGAAAAACTAATTTATTCAAAAAACTATCATTGTATTTGTAAAATATTCTATACAAATGTAAAAAGAACATTAGCAAAAATACAAAAAAATATAAATGCCATCTCAAAAGGTTGTGAAATTCTTAAAGAAAACTCACAAAAATTATTATATCTACACCAACAGCAGAAGAAACAAATAGTAGAATATTTTCGAACAAAAAAATGAAGCTTGATCAAATTTAGAGGTTGTTTATATTTTTGTTTTGTATTATTATACTTTTTATCATTAAAATCTGTTTTGGAATAAAATTGAATGTATTGTCTATCAAGATAGCTTTTATATTTTACACCTTTTTACCTTGTTCTTTGTGAAAGTACCAATAAATTGATCTTACATCAGTCATAGTTGTATTTAATATTTCTTTTTTCTGGTGTAGATGATATAATAACTAAATTATGCGTACAAAGATTATCAATAATGGTAGCTTAGCTGGTTAGAGCACTGTTAGAAGTTCGGGATAGCTCAGTTAAAGCACTTTAAAAGTTCAGAATAATTACGATGTTTCCTTCTCGACTAGTAAAGAAATAATCTAGTTGAGTACATGAAAATTATCGTTTGCCATTTTTGTTTAGTTGCAGTTGCTGTCAATGCCAATTCTGGAATCCTTTTAGGGACAAGTGATCACAATTTTGAGTCTATTATCATGAGACCAAAACACATCTGATTATGTACTTGAACTTCCCCTATAAAAAATACAGACAAATAAGGTATAATTAGAACCATGTAAATCACAAGATTTTGCTCATATAATGCTATAGGTAATTTTGCATTTTTTCTTTCAATTAGCAAAATTTTTTAAATTTAAAATAATTTTATTTATAAAAAGAAGGTCTGACATTAAAATTGTAAATTTCAATGTTTACTAAACAAGCAAATTTATTTATATAAAAAAATCGCTTACCAATTTTTCACATAATGGCTTTTGCCAGCTGCAATTGCAATAAGTTTCTGATTAAAAGCAGAGTCATTGACAATTGATCAATAAGTTGTTACAATGGCTTCAGGTGAACAAAATATTACATTTGTTTCATTGTAATTTATCTAAAAAAAATAGTATACATTTTTAAACAATAAACAACACTCCATAATTCAAAAAAAAAAATTATTTGAAGCATGTTGAAATTCAATATCAGAACAATATAATATTTCCTAATAAATGCTTAACGCATTTAGAATTAATAATGAAATATCAAAATATCATAAATATCATAATAATGAAATTGTCATTATAATTATCTAAATGCATTAAGCTTTAAAAATTTCTCAATAAATGATTAATTGTTTTGCATTCACTAAAAAATATTTTACATGTTTTCTAAAGAAAATTTCAATCAAAATTCCAAAACTTATGAACAACATTTCATATAAAAATGTCTAATTTCTCAATGCAATTACCCAGCAAAAACTAGACCTTTTCTAGAAAAATGGAACACTTTATTTGTGAACTAAAACAATGTATAATAATGATTATTATTACCTCTGTTTGATCATCTTCTATATTTTTTTCTTTGTTGATTATGCTTCATAAAAGCGGGTAGGTACAATCGGCAAGGCGGGGCGGATCAGCGAAGCGGATCATTTTAACAGGTACAAACGGCGGGGCGGATAATTTAAACGTTGCAAACATTTAAATAAAATTATAAATGGCGGATTACGTTTTTATATGAAGTATCACTTGCATTATAAAATTTTTATAAAGCAAGTGATACTTCATATAAAAACGTAATCCACCATTTATCCGCATTTATCCGCAATTTATATTTATTTATATTATAAATTGGCGGATCACGTTGTTTTTTGGTAGAACAATTGGTAAAACTTAAGGTGGTAGAGCTAGAAATAATATGTAAAAATTTTTAAAAAATCGTTTTTTTTTTCAATTTTTAATTTTTGAAGGAAAATTACTTAGCTTTTATGTACTGAAAAAAAATTTTTAAAAAGATTATTAGTTATTTAGTTTTTAAAGCTTTTATGTAACTACATACAACGACTACTCCTTAGTTACGCCCTTAGCAACGGTAAACAATTTTGTTACCTTGATACCTTTCCTTAAAAAACAACACTATTTCTATCAAACACTGATAAACGTGCAATTGTTAAAGGTAACTTATGGAACATTGTAAATTTTGGCAGTTTTTTGAAACAACTTTAGTGCATGCTGTTTAATTTTAATGTTATAAACCTTTTCAGATTTTACCTCAAGTATTATAAATAATGAGTACTTCAAGAAATAACATTAAAGTATCTAATAAGCAAAACTTTGGACGGAAAAAGCAAAGATTTTTTCATGGAAATCGTTATACTATTACAGCAGAATGACAACAGAAAAGCAATCTGAATATTGTTCCAGCTTCAAGTTGTGCAAGTGCAAGAAAATTACTGCCACTGATAAATAGAAATCAAGTTATAAATGACAATGTGGTAAAAATAGGTAAAGGGTATCAATCTATGAAAAACTTTAGTTGCTGTATGAATTTAGACTGTCTGACAACTACTCCATTTAGAAAACTAAATATAGAAATATCAAAAGCTTATGATAAAACTGCTAAAGAAAGTATGAAACGTGCCACAACTAAAATGAAAGATAACTATACTGATGATAATAAACCAATAATCAAGCATAATAAAATTGGTGGTGCATGGCAACGACGCGGCCAATTGTAGGTGATAAGTGCGTTGATTATGAAGCAATGTCTAAAATTTGCATGGGCTGTAAAATATGGAAAAATAAAAAAACTTCACCACGATACAATGCTTGAAAAGCTCAGCATGCCTGTCATATAAATCATAATCAATTTTCTGGGTCAATGGAAACAGCTGGTGCTGTAAAAATATTTGCACGTTCAATTTAAAATAATAATATTTATACTCATTTTTTGGAAATGGAGATAACTCATCTTTTATAGAAGTAATAAAATCTGATCCCTATAAACACTATAAAGTAACTCCTGAAAAGTTAGAGTGTGTTGCACATGTACAAAAAAGAATGGGTACACAGTTACAAAATTTAATCAAAAGTTACAAAGGAGCGTCAACTCCACTAGGTGGAAAAAACAAACTGACAGAAAATGTGATTAATAGTATGCAAAATTTTGATGGTTTAGCAATAAGAAGTAATGTAAATAACATTTATGCCATGAAAAAGACAATATGGGCTATTTTGTTTCGCTGTACTGGATATTCAAATCAAGAGTTTTGCCACTGCTTTTGCCCAAGAATTGAAACTAGTTGGTGTCAATATCAATATAACAAATTACATAAAACTTCGAAGTATAAAGAACATATTAATTTACATTATGGATTAGTAAACTTTTGAAACCAATGTTTAAAGATCTATCAAATTAAGAATTATTGTTAAATTGTGTCCATGGGAAAACCCAAAATGCAAATGAAAGTCCTAATGCATTGGTTTGGTCTAGTTGCCCTAAAAAACATATTTTTTTGTAAACAAACTTTTGAAATGAATATTATTTCAGCAATTTTACACTACAATGATGGTACTGAAGGTGTTAAACATGTTTTACTTTTATTTAGACTATCAGGCGTGGTTACGAATTCTAAATCTTATGAACAAAATGTTTCACGTGTAAAGAGCATGGAGATCAAGTCAAGTGAAAAAGTAAAAATAGAAAAAAAAGTTTCAGAGCATTAAAAAAAGATACTCTGATAAACAAAGTCAAAATAAAACATCATTTTATGTATCAGGAGGGTTTTAAACATATTGTATATACATTTTAAACATATTATAACTTTATTTTGCGTTTTATTGAACTTTGATTTTTTTCAAAATTTTGTAACTTCAAAACCAAATATCTTAGGTTAGAAAAATTCAATTTACTTGAAATTTTCACAGTATCTTCAGTATACATATGAAATTCATTTGAACTAAAATTTTATAATAATTAAATGTATTTATTGCATATTATTTGTTTTTTAATTTCAATTTGGTATTTTTTTTTTAATGCATACAAAATAAATTATGTAAATAAAATAAATTAGTGATCTTCAAGGGTTGTTTATACTCTATTAAGATTCAATGTCATTTTAGTTCAAATGTATTATCTATTGTTGAAGAACAAACTTACAAAAATTCATTGTGATTTGTTGAATATATTTTTTAATATTGTGTTTTAAAATTTCCTTATTTTTTGGTTTATTTTTTTATATAAGTATGGGTAGGCGAGGCAAATTATTAAAAAAAAAAAATTGTTAAATGACTTTTAACATAAATTCAAACTTTTTTATAAGTTCTTGGTAAAAAATAATAGTTTTTAAAAGAATTAGGTTTTTTCTAGTCCTATCACCTTAAAGAGTTTGGATATAAGAAATCAAAATATTAAGCTGACCACATCATAAAGTTTGGCGGATTACGTTGTTTCTTGGTAGAACAATTGGTAAAACTTAAAGAGTTTGATATAAGCAATCAAAATATTAGGCGGATTACTATATAAAGTTTGGCGGATCACTTGATATAAATTGGCGGATCACGTTGTTTTTTGTAAAAATGATTTTAAAATTATATAATATTTTTCGTCGTTTATTAAAATTATAATTTACAAATACCTTTTAAATATTATTTCTTTATTGAACTTAAACTATATCTGAATCTATAAAAAGTACTTATCAAATAAAAAAATAAATAAAAGAAGTTTTTTTTATTTTATTTAATGAAGTATCACTTGCATTATAAAATGTTAGCAACGTTTAAATTATCCGCCCCACCGTTTGTACCGTTAAAATGATCCGCCCCGCTGATTCGCCACGGCCCGCCAATTTTACCTACCCCATAAAAGCTGCTTTGATTTCCTTTTTAGTAAAAAGTTTTTACTAAGAATATTTTCTTGATCTTTCATTAAACTCAAAAGCGGAGAAACAACTAAAACTTAATTATTGAACAACTTAAGTAGGGGAGGATGAGTAGGAGTGAGCCAAGGGTAGGAGTGAACCGTTGATCCTACAGCTAAAACGGGAAATGAAAAAGACTCAAAATTTTCAACAAGTAGTTGCATACAAGTTGTTGTTAACACAATCCAATTTTTTTACCCCTTCTTGGTGTGGGTGTCTGCGTTAACGTTATCATAAACCCTTTTCTGTGCAAAAGTAAATTTTTTGTATTTTTTGAAACTTCTTTAATGAGCATTCCGGTTGTTTTGAGACATTAGATAGTGGTTGAAAATTTACTAATAAAACATGTAGTTTTTAGAACAAAGTATTTTACATGCACAAACCACGTACTTATTGAACATTTAATGTTTTAATTCAGTTGCACAGCTTGGGGAGGAATGAACCATTCCATCACGGGTAGGAGTGAACCGCGGCTAACTAATACTTCACGTTAAAAAAGTTTTGACTTCAGCGTAAAAACATATTTACGTTTGGCTTTAATATCTTAGCATATCATTAGAAAACTCGTGTGCAACATTGCATTTATTTTTACCACATGTTATAATGCCTCGAGTCTATAAAAGAACAACTTCAAAAGCACAAACCCCCAGTAAAAATATAAAGGATGCATTACATTCGATCCAAAAAGGAAAAAGTATTAGAGAAACTGCAATAACTTCCAAAATACCCTATGCAACTCTTCGTCGTTATTGGAAAAAATTTTTGCTTGATGAAAATACAAGACTTAGCCCGAATTATTATGTTAAAAGAATATTTACAGACAAGCAAGAATTAGAATTAAAGGAATATATTTTGAGTTGTTCAAGAATGTTCTATGGCCTTCCAATTAAAGAATGTCGGTGTATAGCTTTTGAGATGGCAACCATCAATAAAATTAGTATTCCACAGAAGTGGCACAAAGACTCAATGGCAGGTATTGATTGGATGAATAATTTTAGAAAGCGACATCCAGATTTGTCTCTTAGAACACCTGAAGGATGTTCTCTCTCAAGGGCAACATCATTAAATGCCCATAATGTAAATATATTTTTTGATAAATTAAAAGAACTTCTTGCTAGATCATCAATATTTGCCAATGGAACTCGGATTTTTAACCTTGATGAAACTGGAACTATTACCGTGCAGAACCCACAAAAGGTATGTTAATCTTCAATAATAAGTATATTTTTATTCGTGGCATATTTTTTCTTATATATAACCACTAAATGTTTAGGTTCTTGCAAAGAAAGGTGTGAAGAGTGTCTGCAAAGTCACAAGTGCTGAAAGAGGAACCCTTGTCACAACATGTATAATAATTAGTGCTTCTGGACAATATCTTCCACCAGTAATTATTTTTCCAAGAGTGCATTTCAAGGAGCATATGTTGTTAGGAGATCCTTCTGGATCTCTCGGACTTGCATGTAAAACAGGCTGGATGAACGGTGAACTTTTTTTAGATGTTATGATCACTTTATCAAGTTCTCGTCAAGTACAAAAGAAAATCCATCATTATTAATATATGACAATTTCGAAGCGCACTTATCTATAGCAATGTTAAATTTAGCAAAGGAGCATGGAGTGACCATTTTGACATTACCGCCTCATTCCATTGTAGCTCCACTCTAACATTGTAGCTGCTTTTAAAAAGACAGGTATATTTCCTTATGACAGGAACGTGTTTACAGATATTGATTTCATGTGCAGTTCTGTGACAGACAGAACTTTTGATGTTAACAATACTTGCATAAAAAATCACGTAAGCATTACTTCTGATAATTTTTTTCACCCACATGTTTCACCAAATGCAGATCCCACTACCTCTACTACTATAGATACAAACAAACTAGTTACCAATGATACCATGGTTAATCTGTCTACATCATCAGATTTCTTTATCAGCTTTAAACAATTCAGAGGGTTTCCGAAATCTGGAAAAAAAAAACTGTAAAAGAAGGGAAAGGAAGAAGGGTTGCTCTATCATTGCCACAGACACTCCTGAGAGAGATCGGATTGAGAAAAGGCTCTGCAATAAAAAAGTTAGTCAAACTTACAAAAGAATTAAAAGCAAATTTACAGAAGATTAACAAAAAATTACTTAAAAAAGACGATTCTGTATTGGAACATTTGACAGCCACAAATGAAAAAGGTTTAATAATCCTAGAAGATGATTTGTGTGCTTGTGATATATATTCTAATTGGTTAAATTTGAAACAACAAAAAAAAAATTGTTTTATGTTGGAAAGGTTTTATGTGTAAACTCTATAAAAGAAGAAGTTACAATCAGTTTTCTTCGGAAAAAAGGTGATATTTTTAAGATGCCTAATTCACTAGATATTGTGACTATCCCTAGAATGGATGTTAAATTGTTGCTACCTCGGCCAACTTTTTCTGGAACAAATAAAAGGCAGCATTGCCATTACAAATTTGAGGTTGTGTTTGACTGTATCGGTATTTGCTAAATATTATTTTTATTGCCAGTATACTATATGCTAATATACTACTTTCATTACATATATGTAATGATATTAAAAGTATATATATATATATATATATATATATATATATATATATATATATATATATATATATATATATATATATATATATATATATATACATATATAATATATATGTATTATATATTATATATTATATATATACTTTTAATATCATTACATATATTAATGAAAGTATATATATATATATATATATATATATATATATATATATATATATATATATATATATATATATATATATATATATATATATATATATATATATATATATATATTTATATTATATTTTAATATTTGGAAATTATCATTTGTCGTGACAGTTTTTTGTTTTGTTGTCAAAATCAGTTGTTACTGAATAAAAACAAATTATTTTTCTGGTAGTTAATAAATTTTCTTTATTTATTAAATGAGTTTAAAATTGTGTTAAATTTATTGTTATATAAGTTATATTATTACTTAATTATGTTATGCTTAATTATAAAGTATTTGTTACTTACTTAATTTTCAATAAATTTGTTAAAGAAATTATCTAGTTTAAGTTTTCTGGTAATCAAAGATAATAGCTTACTCCTATCATTTGCTTGGTTCACTCCTACCCATGCATGGGTAGAAGTGAACCAATAGCAACACCTGCGTTATTGTTCAAGTTATTTAAAATCTAAAGATATTTTGATATTTCTTGGATTACTATTAGAAACCTAATACTTTAGGCTACCTTAGGCTCCTTATCTTATACTTTTTCCACTTTTGGTTTCCTTGATATAATCGATTTAAAAAAAAGTGGCTCACTCCTACCCATCTTCCCCTACATATTCATATCGAATACTATCAGGTGCTTGTTCTTTGCTTAATAAGTTCAAAGTGAAGGTAAAAAAGAGTAAACATCGGAACACAATAGATTTTTTACTGCATGTTAGTTTGCAAACAAAACAATCTATGCGATTGCTGAAAGCTTTTAAAGCTTCTTTTTGGTAATCCTTCAAAGATTTAATACAAAGTAAGTTACAAACTATTTTGAAAGCATACTCTAAATTATCCTTTTTTATTTTTTATATAGCTTCTGAATAGCACTGATAATTTAATTAACTAAATTTTGGCGCATTTTTAAAATAACCCCCCACCCACCCCCACTGAAACTTTGCGGTATTACATTAAGATCTGAGAAAAGCCGCAGGAAAATATTTGTTCCTGTAGATGATAAATTGCATTAGCGCAAAAAAACCAAAGTTTTCTTGTCTGACTTCCCAAACTTCACGGAAAAAAAAGTGAGACGAAATATCGTCTAGTCCACCTTATACTAGAGGTCGCATGAGTTAATCCAATTTTTATTTCAAAATATATTGTTTTTTTTTTTGTTTTTTTTTTGCAGCGATGAAGCGAATGAAGAGGCTAGAAAAAAGAAAGCGCAAAATATTCGGCGTAAAATTTTTAAAGTTGTTACCCTTGAATTCAAAGAATCGATTTTAAAGGTTGGTCGGAGTCAGTCTGATGACATAGCAAAATATGTCACTGCACGCATTGAGTATGAATATGATTTAGTTGCTGCTGAGGCTAGGTACCATAATAGTTGTTATAATTCTTTTTTAAGACCAAAACCCGGAGGTAAATTTGGCCGTCCATAAGATGAATATACCAATCATTCGATGGAGGAAATATTTATATAGATAGAAAATAGTGACGATTGTCAGTTTTTATTGGAAGAGTTAAAAAATATTTGCAAAAATCCAGATTTAGACTACAGAACTATTAAGCAACTATTAATATTAAAATATGGTATTAAAATTACTGAAAAACCAGGCAGATTAACTTTCATTTGTTTTTTTGTCAGTTATTGCTATATTCTTAACCAAGCTTGGTATGAAAAAAAAAACCAAAATAAAGAGGAAGAACGATTTCGAATCTTTAAAACTGCGGCAGCCATTATTCGAAAAGACATTCAATCATTAGCCTTTGATAATACCAATTACCCCTCGTCTAGCCGAAAGTTTAAAGATATTACCAGCAATATTCCGGAGTCATTGATTTTTTTTTTGGAGCAAGTAATTCTTAAAAATAAACGATCTAAATAAAAATATATAAAATTAGTGTGAATAAGTATCAGCCACAATAAAAAAAAAAGTATCAGCCACAATAAAAAAATAAGTATCAGCCACAATAAAAAAATAAGTATCAGCCAAATGTCTGCTATTAGGTCTAGAGCTTTTAACTCAGTCTTTCTTTTTTCTTTTTCTTTTTCTCAGTATTTCTTCATCGACGGTTTGGTTCAAAACGCCTTATACAAATCTTTTCGTTTTTTGGCTTATGCGCAGTCTACAATAAGACTTTGATGTATCATCAGTACTTCATCATCCACCTATTATCTTACCACCACAAACTGGCACGTTTACACGGTCAGCACGGATCCTTATAATGCCTCCCTAGTTGTCCCAAGAACGCCTCTAATACGGAAAGTTAGCGTACACATCATGGCACCCTGTGAAGCAAATATTGAAATTATTTAATTTTGTCCGCGGAAAATAATTTCATTTGCATGTTCAAATTAAGTCAAATTTTGACTTCATAGTGCGCCAATAAAAACACTTGTAAAATTTGAACCACTCAATATAATTTGATAATTAGTACAAATGTAGCCAATAGTCACACCAAACTCTAGACAAAATTTCAGCCTGATTGGATGACTGGTGTAGGATTTATTGCAGTTTTATTTGAAGTTTTGTCAGTTTTTTGCTTTTTATACCTTAAAGCGTTACCGATTACTTTGAAATTCGGTCACTATTTTTAAAATAACGGTTACATGAGTGTTCTACTATGTAATACCAACAATTTTTGTTATAATTATTTTATCGTTACATGTACAGTTTTCATTTTATAGACCAAAAGAGTGATTTGCTACTTAAAGCGTAATTTAAATTGGCTTATGCCAATGGCGTTGAAACGGCTTTCAAGTGGAGGGGATCAACCCCTCAAATTCTAAAATAAAATCCATAATTTCTAAAATAATTGCCTGTATTTCTAAAACCAAAGGTCCTCGCAAAAAAAAAGTGGGCAGGTCATTGCTCCCTTGACGGCCATGTATGCATGGCATGAATATACCAACATTTCCTAATGCAGAATGCAAAAACTTCTAAAAAAATGGTTAAGAAGGGTTTTTAGGAATACCTACATAGAAAATAAAAATATTTATTTACCTGAAAACAGAACAACTGTGAAAAAACCAAATATTTTTTATATTTACAAAGACAATTGACTTAAAAAATTTAGATAAGTTAACTAAGATATATGACCAATAAAAAGTTTGGAGGGCCAGTTGGAGGAAAATTACTCTAACTGAATAACTTATTATATTGAAGGGTTATTTTGAAATAAAACAACCCGTGTTTCATTAGTTTAATAAGTGTGACAGTTAACAATAATGTAATTTCCTTACAAGTAAATAGTTTAAACAATTTTTTCCTGGTATGGAAAAAACTATTCAAGAATTACTTCCTTGTAATTTAATATATTTAAATTTTTTTTTAAATAGTTTAATTATTAAATAGTTTTTAATTATTAATATGTGTTACTATGTTAAGTGGATTGTTATCAAATATAAATTTAGGTCAAATTTTGTAAAATGCAGAGTTTGATTTAGTGAAGTCAAATTTAGTAAATTGCCACGATGCCATTTCAAGCAAAGAATCATGATGAAAATCAAAAGTTTGTGTGCTTGCGCTGTCTGAAACAATGTTTAAGCTTACTACTTTTCAAGCAGATCGAATATGCCAACTGAACAAGACCAATATCAATATCAATGATACTCGGGTACCAAATGGATTCTGCAAATTGTATAGAATTACTTTGCGCAGGAAACAAGAAGGGAAAGAAGTTGCACTCCCTCCTTTGTCTGATTTTAAGTCAATACAAGTTAGACCTGAAACAAGTGGCACGATGTGTTGTTGCCTAATATGCCGAATTGGTCGTTCAAAGCTGCAAGAAAAACATCCTCTTATAGAGCAAACCTCTATTGAGAAAAAGCCAATGATGCGTTGCAGCAAATGCCTCAGCCCTTTAGGAAAAGTTTGCCCCACTAATGCTCTCAAATAATGTTAAGGAAAAACATTCAATGTTTAGCAGCAAAAGATGCCAAATCATCCAAACAAATCTCTGGAAGAAACTTTTCTACTGGCTAAAGCATCCGGCGGGCCTCCAGTTACAGTTACCCCTGGTAAATGCTTATACTTAAATAATTTTAACATATATATTGAAATAAAGTCTTGACTATTAAGAAATAACACTAGATAGATTTCAAGAAGTATATTTTTGACAAGTTTCTAATTTCTTTAAAAACGAATAATTTGAAAGTTTTACACAAACTTACTAAACAAAGTTTATTGTAACTATAAAATATGTATGTTTTGGTTTTAGGTCAAAGTAGTGCGCAGACACCATCAAGTGGTTCAAAATTGACCACTGTAGCCCTTGTAAATGTGCACTTAAATACGGGCCTGTCAAACAATGGATTAAAGAAACTTGTTAGAACTCAAGCAGCAAGATGATTGAGCGAAATTTCTACATGAATTTTCTAAGACTAGGTCAACAATTGAGCGATTTCATTACCTGCAGCGACTTAAAAATCACAGACGAAAAAACAGATTCTTGTACAGTTCATGTTGTTGCTCACTGTATTGATTTATCAAGTCTTGTAAATCATGTTATTCAGTCCCACAAATTTCTGGTGACTATTTTGTTAAGATCGGAATTGATGGTAGCAAAAGTTTTTTCAAGCTTTGCCTAAGCATTGTTGATACTGCGTTAAGGAATGAAACCAGCTCACCGCACCAACAACAACCTCTCACTCAAAGGACTGGTAATGATACTGGAATCAAGAGACAAGTTATTGTTGGGGTTTTAGAAGATTTAACAGAAACACACTCCAATATTGAACAAATCTGGTCACTGAATAATGCAAATGGAGTTAAACTAATTTTG